CAAAACAGCAAAATGGTCTAAAGGGAAAAACTCATGATGTGAAATGTGACAGTATTTTTGGGGCGTTAATTCGTCTCACCATCTCCACTCACTATTTCTTTGAACAAAAATATATTACGTTCTTACAAACATTTGAGTCAGAAGGTTCTTAACCTTCTTACAAATATTTTCGACACACCAAAGAATTTGTAATGGGAGAGAAAACAGCTACGGACAGACACATGTTGGAATTTGCCAATTATTTTTCCTTTTGATGGATCTAGAGGAACACTTCCAAGCTTCCATAAAAATGTTACACTTAAATTAAAAATGTGTAAAGAGTACTAGTCATGTAGGTTAAATTAGAACTAAGTTAAGTGACATGTTTTTCTTACATTAATCTTAAATGCACCAGTTTTGATCCCCTGCCATGGGACAGCATGCAATTTTATTCCTCTTTACTGAAACCTCTGTGGGAATTTTTTACATTATATTTTTAAATGACCCGGAGGGTTAAAACGCTCACTTCTCATGCATGAGGGTGCGGGTTCGAAACCTACCAACGGCAAGTATCAATGTGACTTTTTCCAAGTTATATGTACTTTCTAAGATTATCTAGACACTACTGACAAACGGTGAAGGAAAAACATCGTGAGGAAACCTGGGCTTATAATTTCTAATTATCAGTTTGTAATCGCAAACCTGCATTGAGCAAGCGTGGTGATTAATGCTCAAACCATCTCCGTGTGATAAGAAGCTTTGCTCTGCAGTGGGCATTTACAAGCTGTTGATGTGTGAATTGTGTAGATAAGACTGCTTCAATATCGGAAAACTCATTGGGTTCGACTTAAACATTCGATCTTAAATAATCAATTTAAAACTAAAGAAACTAACATAACAAACAATTGTTTTTCTAAGTGCTAAAGAAGAAAGTAATTGTAAATGAAGAATAGTGAACAAGAAAATTCAATATTGAAATGTGTCTGAACTGCACATTATGCTTGAACTGCGTACGTGTGCAGAAATGGAGACTCAGCGAGTTTACTCAGATAATTAGTGTTTCCAACTAAACGACTAGAACTCTATTACTGCTATACCTACGTGACGTTCTCAACTATTGTGTGATCAGGTCACGAACGGATTAGAAAAGGAAAAGCATCGCTCCTCACTGATTAGATGAAACTATAAACCTTATACAGCAAATATTCTTATACGTAAGGCGTTTCTGTGAACCCCTCTGGAATACAATGATAATAATACTGAAAAATTTAATACTCCGGCAGACATATTAATATGCAGAAGGCCAAAAGTTTTGTTCTCTTTTTTCCTTAAACCCAGTCGAACCCCGTAAAGTTTAGGCCGACCGTAACACTTGGCTTTCACAATTCATGCAACGTTGCCAAATAATAATTTGATGCGGCGTTATGATTAATTATGTAGCATTACCGTTAACAAATTACTTATTATAGTCGTATAGATTTACATATAAGTCACGTTTCTCTGTATTGGGTTTCAATTTAAACATTTCGTTGGCAGTTTACGAGGTTACGCATTCAAATTCGATACACTCAAGTACCGCATGGTCTTAAATGGGCTCAAGGCAGCTAATAAAAGAAGGATCGAGTGCGGGGAGCTTGAAATGTCTTCGCTCAACACCTGTTTGTTATTCCGTATTTATTTTGCTGAGTTTTCCGACTTTTATATTGTGTTTGTTCTTCCAATCTTTAAGTAAATTCTGCGTTGTTTGTCGTTTTTTTCGCCTTTTCGTTTTTTGGTACTTAACGGCTATCGCTTTATTATTGCCGTGTTGTTTTAATTTTATGGTAGACGACTGCATTACTTAATAAAATGAGCAACTTTTTAGTATATAACATACGTGCCATTATTTTATTTGTAATGTACACTTGACCGAGTTCTATTCTCGAAAGAGATTGATAGAAGTTTTGTTATTTTGCAGATGAGTTGAGATTTATTAATAGTTTTATGTTATTACATTACTATGCAAAGTATGCAAAAAATATTTTGCATGTCATTAAGACCAAACTTGTTTATTTGTGTGGATTTCTGCGATTATATGATTAAATACAAAACTTTTGATAACTTACCGGTTTATCGGGGCTCCGGCCCGAAGTGAAGGAGTAGCTGGAGTAGGAACAGGGTGGTTTTTAGTCAGTAAGAGTCTGACACTCCCTCCCGCCTCACCTAGGCGGGAGAAGTCCTTCGATGACCCCCCCCTTAAAAAATAAAAAAATATAAAATTAAAATACACTCCATTTGTATTAGGAAAGCTAGCACTTTACTGAAAAACCATCACGGTTCATCACGAAAAGTCAAGGGATTACATTTTATTAACGTTAAAAAAAAAGATTACGAATTTTGTTTCTTGGTTAGAATATTATTATATAGCTAGCGTCATTTGTTAGAAAATCAAGTATTGACTTTTTGCTGCCCCACAATAATTATTTGATTACAAAATACACAAAGCTGAAAAATATGTTTAATATCAGGAATTACCGGTTCGATTTTAAAATTATGTTTATATTGTATAGTCAATTTACCGAGGAGGCTATAGGCTATAAAACATCATACTATAATCATTAGGAGCCCAGTAGCGGGAGAAACCGCACGGCCAGTAGTAGTCTCACAATATAAAGAATCATCTAGTACAAATTTTTTCGGTGTCAAGTCTACAAAATACAACTCGAAGCCGTGTAAAGTTTGTTGTTTAACTAAAGCCGAGACTACACACCACAGTATTCAAAAAGGTATGTGTACCAACCACGTCAAAGGGAAAGTTCCTATGTAATTTGTATAAAGTGCACACTGGCGTACATCGTCTGGTCCTGACCAAGCGAGATTATTACTGAATTACATGCAACCAACCTAAGGAAGGCATTCATTAATGTTTTCTTTTGACTTTGTTTACAAACGTTAAATAACTACACATGATTATTTTCAATGTACTGTAAGTAAATTGTAATGGTTCATTACGTGTAATATACCAGTGTAAGTTAATGTTGTGATTTAAACAAAAACACAAAATGTGGTTATATAAAACGGGGTCGAAATTGAATAAAATTATTTAGATAGGTATGTGACGAGAAAAAATCAGTTGTTAGTCAACTATTTATTTGTTACGACTTACGAGTCACTCACATAAGTATACTGAGAAAAGCGCTACTAGTTTCGAGTCACAGAAGGACCTTTCGTCATGAGCAGCGTGTGCGGTCGCGGCGATGTCGCGCAGCCTACATGTGCGACATCAGTATATTTATGTGACTAACTCGTATTTTTAGTTACTTCAGTATATCTCACGATAGTTATTGTAAAAACAGAGAGAAAAGTCGTTGACGGCTGACACTTCTTTAATTTCTACCTAAACATATATAAACATATCAATAACTTATGTCTGAAGGTATCCTAATTAATATTTAAAATTTCAAAATGTCACGCGCGGTGACCGGGCAACTGCTGCGTAATGTGTCGCGGGTTCTATTCCCGCACGAAACAACTCTTTGTGATCTACAGATTGTTGTTCCGGGTCTGGGTGTCCTGTGTATGTGAACTTGTATGTTTGTAAACGCACCTATCCTAGTGTAGGGCAAAAAATATTGTATCCTTTTTCAACCACAATTTAATCATCAAGGGTTTTTAAAAAATAATAATGTTGTTGTTAACTAATTCTAAAGTATTCTTTGTTCAAATATCACTCACGAAAGTCCACATAAAAGTGAAAAGTCAAGTACCTACTAGTGGGTTTCCGTAGCCACACACGTTTTAGTTTCGAAAATCTGTGCCGTTCCGAGAAAAATAATGTTAAAAGTTTAGTTTAGTGTCGTACCAAAGGCTTTTCGGCTAAAAAATATGATGTTGGCGAAGTATGCCCGCTTACGTATCCTGCACCCGTTGCGGCACTTTAAAACAATTTTTGCACACAATGTTTTGTATTATTTTTCTCAATTAGCATAAGTTCTGTTAGCAACATCCGGAATAAAATTACACTAACATCCACTATTTGTTTTACACACCGTACTGCCTTTTTAGATAAAAATGATTTTGTTTGGTAAGTTGAGGAAAAAACATCCAACAAAACTGCGGAACATATTTTGTTCATTTTTCAATTCACTGCTCCGATGTCCATTTGTTGTACTAGGTTTCCTCTCATTATACTAAGTAAAACGGCAATGAAAAGAACTCGTGGATTTCGCGCGACAAAAAGGCCACTTTTCAAAGGGAGTGATTCGAGAATACCTCCTTATGTGTCGTTGTATAGATCAAGACATTGTTACCTCAACGGTCGCATTCAAACGGTTCTATTTCCAATGTATCTCGATAGCCGATCGGTTACACCCAGGGGACTCGGACGCCACAACTGATCCTGATCAAATTACATATTTTATGAATCCACTGAGAATTTTATTGGAACGCCTAACAAGACATTCGCTCGCTCACTCTTCTTTGTGGAATCAAATGACTCATCCATAAACACGTGTAAGATTCTATTATGAAGACCTTTATACTTTGGTTATACTTTTTTCTTAGCCTAGAATACCTAAATTCACATCTGCGATATAATGTATTTGATTAAATGAATTAGGTAGGTAGCGCAAGATTTAAAAAGTTATTTTATTTTGACTGATTCATAAAATAGGTATATGCCAATAGTTTGAAGCTTTGTTTGATACAGTGTCAGTAACTCTATTAGCCATGGAAATAGGAAATACAGCGTAATGATGCCTACTGTGTTAAAAATTGTGGGAGAGATTGGGTACTTGTTCGATTATTGTCATTCGACTAAACATTAACTTTATAATAATTGTTCAAAATTGCCATGATATTGACTTGGTATTTAAATACTTATAAACTTGCTATACTGAATAAATAAATATTTATAAGTATGAGTTAGATTTTCCACTCATAAATCTCATATTATATACAAAACATTCCTAATGTATTATTAGTTGACGCACTTAAGAATTTTCCAGAAAACGTAGTAATTAAGTTGCGTCAAACAAAATGAGTTGTACAAACCAAAACTGTGGAGTCACAATGAGACCACAACAGAAGATATCGGGGACTGCAACACTTGCAAAGATATTCAAGGAAGGAAGGAAAGGAAACCGCGAGACAGGTAAGCCACAACAAACAAAATAAAGCAAACAAATAAAATTACGTTTCAAGAGAACTTCTTCATTGTAACTTAAGTTTTGTCAACTGACTTCAAAAAAAAGGAGTAGGTGCTCAATTCGGTTGTATGTTTATTTGAAGCAAAATTTTTTTAACCTCGTCGTCTTGATGTTTTCTTCGATAAATATTATAAGACTTAACCAGTCGCTTCTAAACTAATCCATATAAGTATGTATTTATTGTAGACAATTTCTGAATCTAAGGTCCTGGAGTCTCTATCAAATGTGAATTTGGTTGTTATTGTCAAATGAACCCAAACAAGTGATGGAGAAAAAAATATTTTCAGTTCTGACATGACCTTGCTGCATGCTCGCATGCCCTTTGTTGTAATGAAATTATTGGTAACTAATAAAACCCAGGCAGGTGAATCATCTTCCCACAAAGAAGAGCAAATTGATGTAATTTTATAATCTGTACCATACTCTTCAATGTTTGGGTACTGATTATAAACTTTGGCCAGTTCAAAGCTGACGCAATAACCAGTCAAACTTGGTGTTATTAAGTGAAGCACTCTGCCGGAAGGGGCATTCACTCGGCTTTGAGCTCAACATGCTTACACGAAATCATCAAAACTTTAAGCGAATCCATCTCAAGTAATTGTTGTGTACTTTGTGCTTATATTACGTGCATACGAGTATATGCATTTACTAACTACTTGGCTCCTATTAATCGAATTGTCGTATTTTATTGCCACTGTCACTTTCAATTTTTTAATTATCTCCACTTAAAAATCCACGTCAATTTGTCGCTCCGTGTAGCCGTGAAAGACGGACTTTTGCATGAATATTAGTATGGACGTCATAGTCAAAGGTCGATATGCAATCTCTTTGTGAAATTAAGTATTTTATCTTAGGTTTGAATAAATTTCATAATAATATGTGTATAATTAAGAAATAATCAGATAATAAATCAGATATAATTGATATTTGCAAGGTTCCAAACTAGCTCCCTCATGCAATGGTAATAGGAGCCTTCAACTCCGGGCTACCAAGCCATATAAATATACGATATTATAGGTAGAGATTAAGACAAGCACACATATTTTGAAATTAATATCTTTTTCTACTTTTAAAATATTTCGGTTCGTTAACAAACAACGCCTTTAGAAAACTCGAACGAAAATATAACCTTATTCTGGGCTGTTTTACAAATTCTTGTCACCCAGATTAAGATGCGGCAGACGTAGCTAAATAAAGACTACACGTTTACAAAATGCTAAGCTCAGTATTAAACACCTACGCCCACACTACGCAAGCCTTTATTGTCCATGATATGCCTTTACAAAATCAGATACAGAATGTAAAAATGCTCTTAAATTCGATGTATTAAAATTTTATTTTGCATGTTTCAAGATACTCGTATTTACTAGCAAAGAATCTCTTTATTTTTTGCAGTCAGTTAACAACCCAAATTCTACTAGAATTCATTGTTCCACGCGGATTAAGTTGCGGGCACAATTTCATAATCATAAGCGAGATTGATTAAATCAAAATTAGTTATTACGGAAAAAATGCCCAATAACAAATTATTTGTGTTACCTACTTATTACTCTTAAAAACTATTTTGAATTTATATTATAACTTTTGGGAGACATACTAAATTAATTATTATTTTTTCGGCTTACTCACGTAATTATTTGACGAGGAACTCGACCAGTGTCATGTCAAGCTAGAGGCTTATATTTATGAGCAGCATTCCGCGATCCGCGACGCAGCAACCATCGCGCTGCTACTGTAGTCGTAATAATTACGCGAGTGAGCCGAAAAACATAATAACTATTTTGAATAAACCGCTGAGGAGTTCTGTCGAAGCGCCTACTGCCTTATAAAGGCAATTACACTCGATTGGCTAATGACGCGAACGAGCGCACGTTAGGCGTATTTGTAGTTAATATTATTGTATTCTGTAACCTCTCATCAATCTGTTTTTTGTCATTGTTCAGATTACACGCTATTAATTGTACTCGACTGCTTTAAATTATTTTACCACCTTGGAGTTTTCTACAAGTTCCCTCAACTGTCTGTCGTCTCCATGATCAGGTCGAATCCAGACTCTTGTCAAATTGTAGTGTTTAAAAATCCTAATTGAAAAACATAATAGACGCATTACTCGCCTATAGAATTTTCGAAAGTTTCCCCTCGGTTTCCCAAGGATCCCATCATCAGATCCTGATCTCATGGAAATGTGATCATCTCGGGAGTATACCCTTTCAAACAAAACAAGACTTTTGGAAATCGGTTCACAAACGGCGGAGTACTGCGCGAACAAACAAAAAAAAAACAATTAGCCGAACATCCTCCTCCTTTTTTTGAAGTCGGTAAAAATTAAGTAAGTCGGTAAAGATTTACCCCCACAATTACCTTTCAAAAAGGGTTTAATGTTACCAGATCCGATTGGAAAAACGTGAACCGATTGTCTAAATAGTTTTCTAGGCAGGCACAAAGACCTAATCAGAAAAAAATGAGTGAAAAAATTGGTAACCTATCCCAAAACTATAAGAACAGAAATTGTTTCGTTTATGAACGTACGTAGTACATACATAATGCTTATTTTGTAACTTCACAGTAATATCAAAGGAGGCAACAACAAACGTTTTTTTCTAATCAAAATAATTGAGTAGAACAAATGGAAAGTAGGCTTTGTCATCGCAGTTCTCTTTTACTTATGATTGTATTATACACAAAAGAAAAACGTTTGCGATTGTATAAGTTCGGCTTTTTCATCGCGTGACCCGAATGCTAAACAATGCTTTTATTTATTCATTCCGATCGATTTCGATTTGTTGTTTAAAAATGTAAGAAATATAAAAAATAAACTTGAATTATTTTGAACTAATCAGTCACTAAAACATTGGGATAAAAACTGTACAATATTTGAATAGTTTATTTGTGTCAATAATATTATTCAAGTATAGCTAAAATAAATCATCAAAATGACTATTTTTCCATTTAAATGAAAGCAAACATTTATTATATTAGCATACAATTTGTATTAAAGTTATTCTTATTTACTTTAAAACGAATGAAATAAATAGTAATCTGCATTGTGTAGCAAATTCCAAACAAAGTAAAAGAAATGAAAGAACGAATGGAATGAAATGTGAATTTAATTTTACAGTTGGCCGGCCTTTGAATGACAAGGGTGTGTGTGGATGTGTCGCGTGGATATCGCAGATTCAGTATTTTCTTAATGTTATTGTTGTGTCGCATTATATTACGAGTATACCAGCTTATCCCGTGAGACTACACGATTTTATATTAACAAAATTCCTCTTATATTTTCGCTGGAAGTTAATCAAGTGTCAATCATCCTGTTGGTTATCGTGAACGCGATGTATTCTCGTTCTATTGGCTTCCTTATGAAATGTTAGGACAGCGTTACGTTTCATTATGACGTGACACCCTTATACACGCTCCTTTTATTAAATATGTATTTTGTTTGCGATACATTTTGTACTGAACGTGAATTTTGTTTTGTGTGATAAATGTTTTTTTTCATTGGAAAGTTTTTTTTTTGTTCTAAATAACCTGTATATGTTTATTGTATGATTAATTAATACGCATACAATATGGTAATAAATATATAGTATGGTATTAGGGAAATAACATTCTGTACATATATGTATTAGGTTTTTTTTTTATTAGCCCCACACTTGGATTTTTCTTGTGTCGTGGGTGTGTTTACAAACATAAATGTTAACTCGTCGAGTACCGTCATTATAGACACAATTATAGAACAATAGGTTGCGGTCACCGGTGATCGCTTGGTGTTTGACAGTTTAACATACATCCAGACCCAAAACAACTATTTGTGGATTACACAAAGAGTTGTTCCGTGTAGGAGTCAAACCCGCGACACGTTTTGGGGCAGCCGGTTGCCCAGCCACCGCATCAACCGTGCTGGCAGGTTATAAGAAAAAAAATGACTTTAGTGATATACTTTAATAAACAAAATAGGTACATTATGTTTGATAGGTAATACGCCAAGATTAAGTAAGTAAAATATATCATTAGAATTATCTATAAAAAGCAGCTACAAAATTAACATCAGACAGGAGTTACAAAGTCTAATTCTTAATTAAAAACTTTTCTTTATTGGCAACAGGGCTAATTAGGTCGGATAACTTTTACTTTTAAATTTGACAATGTTTTTGTAATGGCACAGAAAAGTTGGAATATAGTGTATTTTAATTATCATCATGATCATCATTATATCTCACTGCTGAATCTATATTCAGCCTATGCCTACTCAGACCACTTTCAGATACATGATTTCAAATATTATCTTAGAATAAGAGCTGTCAATTTTCATATAAAATTTTCACTTGAAGTTTTAATTATGAAATAAAGTCGTGTTAATTACACTATATATAACTAAAGAACGGATAAATTGACGCAGTTGCAAAATCGGTGGGGAGGTAGTTTAGAACCAGGAGACAGACATAGGATACTTTTTATAGAAAATTCAAGTTTTTATAAAATTAGACATTTTTCTTACTTATCAGTTTTTTATTGTGACTGCTACTCGAATAATTCCTTAGTACATCCTTTGAGATGCTTTCTTACTGGTTGATGATTCCTTTTAGAGACAATAAATAAATTATTCTTATGTATGTTATTTTTGTTCCTTTCGAGTTATTCTTAGAAATAATAACGTAAGTAATGGATTGAATAGGAGACTACATTATGATTTGCGATACATTTGAAGAAAGATTGGGAGTTATTTTCCTTAAAATGAAAGTAGTCGACTGAAACTATATTCTTTTTGTTTAAAATAAATCTGTACTGAGAAATTATTTAACGTCAAAGAAAGCTTGAAACTACTTAATAGATATAAACATAGAATCCGAAAGACTTTAAAAAGATGAAATAAGACCTAGTCATAAAATGTTCGTAGCGTGGGTGATCTACGCCGTAGCATATTAGCTACGCCGACGTAGCAATG